ATTATAGATTATGGAGTTTTGCACCTAGTGACCGATCATCATTCTATTTGGTATTCATTTATTTATTGATGTATATTTTGTATAACATTGGGAGTGGTTCTCTTTAGGTTTTCTTGGTAGAATAAAAATCTTTCTCAAAATTCATCAATCAGCCTGGTAAATGAATTGATCTACATACCAATGGAAGGGATTGTATATATGGACACACCAAAGCACCATTTGATCAATTCCCACAGAGGATTGATAGGTTTCCCTTGGTCACCAAGCAGATCCACAAATTTTACAGGTTCCTAAGATTGAGAAAGAAAGCACAGGATTTTTCTTTAAGTTTGGTTGTTGAAAAGTGGCCATGAAGGGCAGGCCAGATACCTCAGTGAATAAAAGTGCCTTTTTAGGCAAAGTGCATCAGCCTGGGTTCAATCCCTGACATGCCTTGCTGGCCCTGCCCTGAGGTCATGCTAAAAATGAGGCTGAGACTGCGTGTGGAGGTGCATGCCTGTAATCCCAGCTCATGGGAGGCTGAAAACAGGGGAATCACTGCGAGTGTGATCAATGTAATGAGATCCGGTAGGCCCTGCAGAACCTGTAATAAATATATAAAAATGAATGAAAAATGACAATGAGATAAAAAGAAGTCAAGTAACAGTAAGATGTGTTATACAAGCTAGAATGGGAATTTTTAAAAGATGACATTTTGCAATAGGATGTCAAGGAAAGTAGTTTTTCAACAAGGTTTGGGAAAATGTAAATGATTAAAATAATTACTAAAACTACTCAAAAAACCACAAATAAGTCTTTCATATATCTAGCAATCTCACTTCCAGCTATTTATTCCGAATGCAAAACTAATACCAAAAAGAAATCCCTAAATGAATCAATGAATCTTTTCATTGAGATCCTATTCGGGATAACAATAAGAGGTAGTCAGCTCAGTTATATATATATATAACTGAATGTATGTGCATAGCTCATGGGGACTTGATAAATTTACAGAGTGCAACTGTATTTCTGATTCTTTTCATACTACATATACTTTCCCTTCTCACAGTCTTCAACTATTTGCTCATTATTTGCACAATTTTTATATAATGATTTCCTACCTTTTCTCAAAATTTGAGTGAAATATTACAGCTTCTCTGCATTTGTTGACAGTATGTTATAAACATAATTTTGCCAGACTGAGATAAAATTCTTCAAAGCCTATGTATTTCAGACTTTTTGTCATTAATGAATATAGATGTTTTTAATTTTTCGTTTTAGTTATTTATTATTCATTTATTTTGGTTGTACCAGGAATTGAACTCAGGACCTTGTGCTTCCCAGGCAAATATTTATTCCACTGAACTATCTCCTCTGCCCCTAATTATTTTTATTTTTTAAGGAGAGTACAAAGTAGTATAGGCTTGCATTATCTTGGTCTTAACCATCCAGTAGAAAAGTATAAAAATGAGATACAAAAAATAAAGACACATTAATATGCTGAGCTTTAAAAGGTCAAGTAAAAAACTTCTGACATTGCCAGTTCTGAGATAACCCAATATTATTATGGACTACTGGACTATATTGGATTACTTTGCTGAATTCACACACCTAGAATATTTGAATGACAATGGAATA